GTCCCGACAACGTGATGTCGGTCTGCGTCAGCTCCACCAATCCCAGCCTGGATAGCAACATTAGCAGCCAATCAGAAACTCCCAGCAGCCTTTGCTGTGTGCCCTCTTTCCATATTCAGCAACACTAGTCTCAATCTGCTGGCTTCCCTGGGATGTTGCATAAAGACCCCCCCATTCAACACACTCCAAAATTATAAGTTTCTTATGTTGAGACAACTCGTCAGTGACATACCTTCACACGTGTGTGCATGAGCACACTTGAACTCTCAACAGTCAAAGTGACATCTGCATGTAGGAGGGCAACAGCAGTTCTACTTCATCATCGAGGTTGAAAACATGATTTGATGTATTTGGAATGATCACTGTTGAGATGCAAATATATCTTGCTGTTCTTTCACACACTGCAGATCAATTGCGCACACATCCCCACACACAAACATACTGTTCACTTCACTTTATGCACAAGTGCTCATTGTGCCTACTCATAGACAGCTTTACTCCATTTGTGCACACACGTGAATAGGCAGAGCACGCATACATACTGTGCATGCAGAGGTTTCACACAGCTGCACCAATGCCATGTCAGTTGGTTTATTGGATGCTTCCTTGTTGCAGAACGTAGGCCGCATTTCACTCCCCGTGTCCCCCTGTCCACTTAGCTCCCAATGGAGGATAGAAGTGTCTTATCTGACCATTTCTTTACCCTGCCAACCTTTCAACTCATCACTCTATTTTACTCAACTACTGCTCCCACAGTCACCCTCCCTTTTTTGCTCCTTAACCTATTCAAACCTACGGTCACCTCTGTTCCTCTTCTCCCTTTTTTCTGTGCCTCTATTCTCTTCCAACCTTCAATTCTTTTTCCCCCATCCACATTTTTTTCCCAGTTTCCCGCTCTCATATTGTCTCACCCACCTCTCCCCCCAACTCACCCATCTCACCTGCCCCCCCCCCCCCCGGTCCTCTTTTCTGTGAGTAGAGCAGAGGGGCGAGTGAGTGAGCAAACGGCCTGGAGCCCGTCAGCACATCCGCAGAGCAGCGCAGTGAGTCGACCGCTCCCCGAGGCCATCCGCTCATCACACAAACACACTCGCATCCACTCACTCCACTTTTATCTCTTAGTCACTCTCTCCTCCCCCCCCCCCCCCCCCCCCCCCATCTCTTCCCCTCCTCCGCCCTTCATATTAAAAACCGAGGCTTTTCCCCTGCTCTTTGTTTCCTCCTCATCTCTTTTCCTCGCCTTTCCTTCCTTTTCCTTGTTCCCTCCATCCTCTCTATTTTTTGAGGCCATGCAGTATTTATGGTGTGGGCTGCTGATGCTGCGTCAGTGAACAGGCATCACAGGCGTACACTGATAGACACAAAAAAACACAAATGCACAGCTAAGATGGCCGAGGCAGCCGTCCTCATTTAATAATGTCTGCACGTACATGCACGCTCACCCTTGTAGGTAGACATTGGCGGAGTCACACAGTAGAAAATAGATATATTACAGGTCTATTAAATAGGTAACTGTAATTCCAAAACCTGTGATCATTTGAGCAATTTTTTTTTCATTTTGGTAAGCTGCACCGTGTAGTTGCTACATAGGGTATATACCCTGTCTTAACTTACAAAAATAGCTTATCACAACAAGTGTAAAAATGGCTTATCACACACATGCACGCAGGGATAGGGTCAGGTCACAAAATATACATCAAGCTGCCTTCCATCTGCCAAGTCACGCTGTCACGTTACTTTCTGACAATTAAAATGAGCATGAATATTCCTTTTATATATCTTCACCCCAGCTGGCTGCAACACACTTCAATTCCCTGTTGGGTTACCCCCATGTCCCCCTATGTCATCACATCCCTCAATTTAAGGATGCCCCAGTCATCTAAAGCCAAATCCCGCAGGAGGTGACCTTGACCCCTGACCTGTGACCTCTGCCACCCCCACACTTCTAACCCAACCCCTTCCCTCTCCACTGATTGGCTGAGAATGGTGTGCTCATTACCAGGTGTCAGTTATTACACCCTCACTCACGCTGACAGCACTAATTTATGGAAATTGTGGCACGTGTGTACAAACTGTGGGGGTTGAGTTATGTGTATCCATTTCATTAAGTTGAAGTTACATGTTTTATAACTGTTAAGTCTTTCTTATGAGTCTGCTTTCTCAGCACCTTTTTGGGCATTTTTGTGCACTAGTTCACCCTTCCACTGAAATAAATATACTCTCAGAAATAAGAAACTAAATAAAACAATATGTGAGGAATAAAATGAAAAAGGAAGGGGGATGGTGTTAAGGAATAGAGAGCAAAAAACAAAGAGGGTTACAACTCCAAAAAACAAAAATACAATAGAGATAAAGATTCCAAATTTTCTCCATATTATTGTTGACAATCTTTTGGGATTGTTGGGAAATTGAGTTGACATTATACAAAATCAAATGAACTGTAATAAAAGATTTCTACTCTGAAATAAGATGTGCAACATTTGAAAAATCAGCACTGTCTTACAAATAGGTTGCCTACATGTAAGTGAAACTGACACATTGAACATTGAAGAAGTTAAAATAAATAAATAAAGTATCAGTATTACATTTGGAGCAATGATCATTGGCTAATATTTCTGTGTACTTCATTTTTAAATTGTAATGATATGTTAATTGGATAGAAATTACACTTTGTTCCCAAAGCTGCGTGTTAGTCAGTTAGCCCTAGAACCTTCAAGGGCATCGAGGCTTTTTTTTTTCATGACCAAACATTGTCATTTGATGTCACAGATTTTGATACGCCTGAGTTCAACTATTGCTCTTGTTCGGACTGATTTGACTACAACAGTAGAACAAGCTCTACTTGTTAGATTTAGATGCAGCTAAAAATAAACAGCATAAGGGCCAGAATCACAGTGCTCTGACAACATGCCCAGAACCATGAAGTGATCATGTTAGAGAGCACTGCTCCAGTAGAGAAAATGGAAGCTAAGGAGGGAGATAAAACAGATTTTAA